CGGGTACCCAGTACATAAACCGCAAGGGGTACTTTTCAATGGTGCTGCAAGCGCTTGTGGATCACAAGGGACGTTTCACCAACATTAACGTGGGCTGGCCGGGAAGGGTTCATGACGCTCGCATCTTCAGGAACACTACTCTGTTTAAATGGCTGCAGCAAGGAACTTACTTCCCGGACCAGAAAATAACCATTGGGGATGTTGAAATGCCAATAGTTATTCTTGGGGACCCAGCCTACCCCTTAATGCCATGGCTCATGAAGCCATACACAGGCAGCCTGGACAGGAGTCAGAAGCTGTTCAACTGCAGGCTGAGCAAGTGCAGAATGGTGGTAGAATGTGCATTTGGCCGTTTAAAAGGTCGCTGGCGATCATTATTGACTCGCTCTGACCTCAGCCAAACCAATATCCCCATTGTTATTGCTGCTTGCTGTGTGCTCCACAATCTCTGTGAGAGTAAGGGGGAGACCTTTATGGCGGGGTGGGAGACTGAGGCAAATCGCCTGGCTGCTGATTATGCACAGCCAGACACCAGGGAGATTAGAAGATCACACCAGGAAGCGTTGCACATCAGAGAAGCTTTGAAAACCAATTTCATGACTGGCCAGGCTACGGTGTGAAAGTTCTGTTTGTTGAAAACCCGCTTCCTTGATTGACTCATTCCCTGTAAGCAAACCACCCTCCCCCCTTAAATCACAGCTTGCTTTTAAAAGAAATAGTCACTATCGTTTAAAAATCATGTATTCTTTATTAAACATAGGGAGAGAACTGACAAGGTAACCCGGATGAGGTTTGGGAGGAGGATAGGAGGGAAGTAAAAGGCCACTGAAAAAATTCAATATAATGACAGCCTTTTGGTTGGGCTGTCCACTGGGGTGGAGTGGGAGGGTGCACGGAGCCGCCTCCCCCCCCCCACACGTTCTTACATGTCTGGGTGAGGAGGATATGGAACATGGTGATGGGGGAGGGAGATTATACAGCGGCTGCAGCGGCACTCTGTTATCCTGCTGCCGTTCCTGAAGCTCCACCAGACGCCGGACCATGTCCGTTTGATCACGCAGCAGCCCCAGCGTTGCAGCCTGCCACCTCTCATCTCGAGCGTCCCTCATGACCTCAGGTTCACAGGCATCTTTCCTGTACTTAGATACCGTGTCCTTCCACTCATTCAAATGAGCTCTTTCATTGTGGGTGCATTCCATTATTTCTGAGAACATCTCGTCTCGCGTCCTCTTTCTCCACCGCCTTATCTGAGATAGCCTTCGGGACAGAGGAGGGAGGCTTGAAAAATTTGCAACTGCTGGAGGGATGGAAAAAAGGAGAGAAGTTTTTAAAAAGATACATTTTACAGAACAATGCTTATACTCTTTCGCGGTGAAAAACACTATTCACATTACATAGCACATGTGATTTCAGTACAAGGTCGCATTTTCCATCTTAATATTGAGTGCCTGTGGCTTTGGTGTTAGAGATCACAGACGCAGGTCCGCGCAACAGAATTCGGCTTGCATGCGGCCATGGTAAGCCATTGTCTTTCGGCTTCTGCACCCTTTTTTCCCACATACCAAGCAAAACCCGTTGACTGCTGCAGTTTTCCTGTTAACCTTCAGCAGCAGAAAACAAACTAACCCCCCCACCCCGCATCCAGTTCTCTGGGATGATCGCTTTATCCCTCACTCCACCGCGTGGCTGGTATCAGGGAGGATCCCTGCTAGCCAAAGGCGAAAAGTTCAGTGCCAATTCCTCCCCCCTGCCCCGCGCATGGCTAACCGCAGGGAAGGATTTCTTTTCAGCCACAGGCAAACAGCTCAGTAGGAACGGCCACCTCTGTCCCCTTAATTAAATTCCCATATTTCAACCAGGTTACCATGAGTGATATCACTCTCCTGAGGATTACACAGCGAGATAAAGAATGGATGTTGCTTGAATGCCAGCAAACACCGGGACCATACGCTGCCAGGCTTTGTCATGCAATGATACCAGATTACTTGCTACTAACATGGCGTGGTCAAGTGTCTTACCATGGAGGACGGAATAAGGCTGCACTGCCCAGAAACCTTCTGCAAAGGCTTTTGGAGTACCTCCAGGAGAGCTTCATGGAGATGTCTCTGGAGGATTTCCGCTCCATCCCCAGACACGTTAACAAACTTTTCCAGTAGCTGTACTGGCCGCGAATGCATCCCAAGTCCTCAGGGCAAATTAATCATTAAAAAACGCTTGCTTTTAAACCATGTTTTATATTTTAAAAGGTAAACTCACCTGAGATCCCTTCCATGGTCTTGGGTACTGGCTTGGGAGGGTACTTCAGTCAGGTTGAGAAAAAGATCCTGGTTGTTGGGGAGAACGGAGTGTTGTGTGCTCTCCGCAAGCTCGTTGTCGTCGTCCTCCTCCTCCTCCTCTTCCCCATCCGCAGAATCCTCAGGTGTGGTTGATGAGATTACCCTCACCTCGGAATCCGCAGTCAGAGGTGGGGTAGTGGTGGCGGCCCCCCCTAGAATTGCATGCAGCTCAGCGTAGAAGCGGCATGTCTGCGTCTCTGACCTGGAGCAACCGTTTGCCTCTTGTTTTTTGATAGGCTTGTCTGAGCTCCTTGACTTTCACGCGACACTGCTTTGAGTCCCTATTGTGCCCTCTCTCCATCATGCCCTTGGAGATTTTTTCAGAAGTTTTGGCATTTCATCTTTTCGAACGAAGTTCTGCTAGCACTGAATCCTCTCCCCATATAGCGATCAGACCCAATACCTCCCGTACGGTCCATGCTGGTGCTCTTTTTTGATTATCGGCCTGCATGGTTATCTGTGCTGATGAGCTCTCTGTAGTCACCTGTACTCTCCTGTGCTGGGCAAACAGGAAATTAAATTCATATGTTTGCGGGGCTTTTCCTGTCTACCTGGCCAGTGCATCCGAGTTCAGATTGCTGTCCAGAGCGGTCACAATGGTGCACTGTGGGATAGCTCCCGGAGGCCAATACCATCCAATTGCGGCCACACTAACCCTAATTCGAAATGACAATATCGATTTTGGTACTACTCCGCTCGTCGGGGAGGAGTACAGAAATGGATTTTAAGAGCCCTTTATTTCGAAATAAATGGCTTCGTTGTGTGGACGGGTGCAGGGTTAATTTGATTTAACGCTGCTAAATTTTTAATTAAACTCAGTCTTAGGCCTGGTCTACACTATGTCTACACTAGCACTTATGTCGCTCAGGGGTGTGGACAGCGCTATGTCGGCGGGAGAGCTTCTCCCACCGACATAGCTACTGGTGTTGGGGGTGGATTAATTAAGTCAACAGGAGAGCTCTCTCCTGTCCCCTTAGAGCGGCTACATGAGAAATTACAGCAGCACAGCTGCATGGGTGCACCTGCTGTGCTGTAAGCTCTCTAGTGTCACCATAGCCGTAGTCTCTTATGGTCCTCTCCTTGTTCCCTTTATACTGGTTCTTGTCTAACAGTCATCTGTGGTTTTAAAGGCACTGGCAGGAAAATGTTATAAACATGTATTATGTCTTCTGTGAGGCAACGGGACATTCCAGAGTTTTCTTGGGCAAAGGCAGGACTGGGCTAGCAAATTATAAAGCAATAATCATACTCAAACCCTTTCCTTAGATCTCCTGGGAACAGTTTTCTTGACCTCATACGATAGCATCCAACAGACTTTTTCCTCAGGTTAGCTGCCTCGAGCTAACACAGATTTTTCCACCCCCCCCCCCCCAATCCTTGTGAAATCATTTGTGGACAATTATGCCCTGTTAGAACCTTCTCTCCCTGGGGAGGAACTTTCTGTAATTTTTAGATTTCAATCTTGGTCAGTTAAAATACAGGGTTGCTGTAAAGTTACAGTTGTAACTATCTGGTTATTTTTCACATACACGAACACAACAAAGTATAGCTCTCAGGAAGAGATACTCTGTTTACCAAGATTAACTGGAGAAAGCTCTTGCAACCAATAGGAAATTTGTAAAACTAAGGGTTCATCATAGAAAGAGCTGAGATATCCATAACAATACTGATGCTTTTGTATGCCACTATAATTATGTCGGCCACTATAATTACGTATATATGGTTATTAGTTGTTCTGGAAGAGAAGTCCTTTTCCTCAGACTGGTGCAGAGTAAGCAGCTAGAAAACATCAGTAATTAATTGTTTCTTGATCAGGTCATTCTGGCCTCATCCTCAAACCCTCTTGGGTCTCATCTAAGGGCTCTTTAATTACTTTAAGGGTGGAATTTCCAAACGTGCTCAGCATAGGCCTAATCGTTCTCCCATTGAAATCAGTGGTAAAACCCATTGGGTCAGTGGGAGCTGAATTAGACCAAACCTGAGTGCTTTTGCAAATCTCATCCTAAGTATCCAGCTTCAGGTCTGTGGCTTTTCTGTGACTGTTTACACTTGAAAGGTTACTCTTACAAGATCCCATTTCTCTATTGAAGGACTGGATTGGGTCTGAAACAGAGAAAATACCTGAGGTGTGATCATTTTCTGCTGTGTGTTTCCTTCCAGAAATGGCAGTCTCTCTTTGGAAAAGTTTACTCCAAACCACAAAGAGTAGACTATTCCTGCAAAGATGTGTGTCACTTTATAACAGTGCCCATGGCTTTGAGGAAGAAGAGATGAAGAAAAAACTTCAGCAGTTTGGTGGTGGATCCATCGACCTTTCTAAGGAAGACAATGGCATTGGAGTCCTGACCTTGAACAACCCAAAGCTAATGAATGCATTCACAGGTACTGACAATGTGTAAGGATTATATATAGATATATATAGAGAGATATTGATATATATATATAGAGAGAGGGGGGCGGGGGCAGTTGCCCTAGAGTTTTGCGTGTCTAATTTACTTTGATCTCGTTTCTGTTGTGTTGGATTTAGTGTGCGGGTGCTGGGGGGACTTGATGGCCTGTGATATACAGTAGGTCAGACTAAATGGTCTAGTGGTCCCTATATGACGCTGAAAAATTATGCCCATAACTATGTCACGGTTAGAAATAAGAGGTCATGACTTTTGATTAGAGATGCATTAAGTGATTACTGTTCTGCACAATAACGCCATAATAATATGTTGTTATAAACATATAAATAAAAATAAAAACGCAAGAAACTTTAGACATCGGACAAAGCTGTCTGTCAGAACATGCTTGCCCTTTTTTCAGTCAGCTCAATCGTTCCTCCCTGTTCTTTCTCTTTATACTTTGTTCCTTTCGTCCATCCCAGCTATTCTAGAAGCAAATAAAATAATCATGTCTTTCAACTCAAAACACTTTACAAATGTGGGCAGATATCATGATGCCCATTTTGTAGATTGGGAAATTGAGGTGCAAGGAGGGCTTGAACGTAGTTCCTCCAACTTGCTTTCTACTCTCCATCACCCAGCACTTCATAGTTTGGCCTTTTCCAACCACATATACCAACCTGTCCACCCTTTCTTCTTCCATCAGTTTGACACCTTACATATCAACTTATTTACTAAAGGATGAACATTCTCAGCCCAGTTAGAAACATCCTAAGAGTTATTGTCATATATCCTTATACTCTGTTTGCCCCTACTCTATTGTAGAACTCTGGATTCTCCCATGAGGAACTTTCCAGTTGGGCAAATTAATTGTAGATTATACTCTTTATTCTTAGATTAGTTAATAAAGGGAGTTTTCAGACTAAAGTTTACGGTTCTCAATATCTCCAGCCTACATCAGTCAGTACCTACAACATATACGGTATTATACCCATAGTATGTCTGACATCGTATGAACAGGTCTGTATGTCTATTTACTTGATCAATTTAAGCATATTTAAAAACAGGACATTCTAGTGATGTTGCTTTAGTGGATAATACAGGGAACTGGGTTAAAGATCGTGGACTTTATTTAATCCCTGTCATTGACTTGCTGTGTGGCCAATGGGCAAGTCATTAACCCTCTGTGTCTGAATTCCCCATTTTTAAAATGGGGATATAAATCCTTACAGACTTACCATATCTCTTCTCTCACTTGTATTCCCCGGGGAAAATTTGGGTACATGCCAAAAAATTAATAATCACGTTAACATTCTAAAGGCGGCCCACATCACTGCAGAAGCAGTAGCAAGAGCCATAATCCTGGGAATGCCTGACAGCTGCTGAAGGATCTCTAGTAGCAGGAATAGGTGATAGAGCAAGAAAATTAGGAGAAGTTAGGAAATGCCAGTTTTAAGGTTGTCTGTGCAACCTTAATTCATGTCAGGATCCTGACAAGGGCATTCAGGGCTAATGGTCAGAGCAATGTCAAACACGAGCCTGAGAGTGGTGAAGGAGTTAGTAGTCAAGTGCCAGGCTGAGGTTGATATCAAGGATCAGAGTCCAAGTCAGGGTCAGGAAGTGAGGTCCAAATTAAGCCAAGGTCAAAACCAAGAGTTAAGAGCAGAAAGCAGGAATGGTCATCGCAGCTACAGAAGATCCGCTCTGTTGCCTGGACACTTCCTGGAACACCATTTGGGTTTATGTAAGGCAGGGAATCAATCAGGAGACATGAAGCTACTGCCTGTCGAATCCCTTGAGGCAGGACTTCCTGTGGTTTGTGTATATAGCTAGTCATGGATAGTGGAGCGAGCAGTGACTGCTGTTGCTGGGTGGCAGCGTGGAGGTGTTTGCTGCCTGACAGCTCTGTAGCTTTAGCTTTGAGACCTGCTGAGCCTTACGGTTCAGCCTCCTTATGTGTATACATCACGGTACAGACTTTAATTACACAATCATGTGCTATGTTTTCCCCAGGATCCTTGCCTCATTCAGTACATCCAGGATATACAAGGTGGCTGTATTAAGGTTGTACAGGTACCCGTAAATCTGGCATTTCCTAATATTTGGTTCTCTTAATTTGTGTATGTAATATATCATGTAGGCACATTATGTTTATTTTTAGCCAATTTAATATGCATGAAAGGTTCTAGACTGACAGCCTTGGAAATTTGTATTCATCCATGAAACATGCGCAGCTAGAAAGCTTCCCCACCAGTGTGCCTCAAAATCCTCACCTCAAGGAAGACCCTCTAGGAGATGAGATGACAGTTAATTCATTCTCTGTGTTATTTCAGTCCTTCGCCTTCAGCTGAGTGGAATATGTTATTGCAGCACTTTAATTCACTAGCTATTTGCTGATCGCTACAATCTATTATTATAATAGGCGGGGCTGGTTGTTCTACCTATTATTAAGTTTGCCAAACATTCCCCATTATAAGACTGTTTTTGGTTGTTTGTAATGTTCCTTGTCAGCCTCAGGTTGAATTATTATTATTATTTTTTATTTTTGAAAATTTCAGTCAGAGCAATTAATCCATTTCCGAGAATGAGGCTAGGAAAAAATGTTGTTTTGTCCACATTAAAGTTTTTTACTTTTTATTTGAAAAGTTCTCATGCCTGCATGCTTTTGAGTAGGGACTTGAAATATAGAGGAGCACGGCTTTTGTGTCAGGATATGCCTTTTGGTGTCCCCGTTAAAATCCACCCAAATTTGGCTAAGTCATAAGCCTTAAAAAAAAAAAAATGCAGTTTGCACATGCTCAGTAGGGATTTCTTAGATTTTAGTATCTTAAATTCCCCAAGGATTCTGTCCACCCTGGGCATGCTCCAGCCTTGAGATGAACAGAACTTTCCATGGAATTTCAGCTCTGGGTAGCAGGCCATGCCGGGTTTGGGCGTCTGAACTGAAGGCAATGGAGCCTTTCTCTCAGGTGCTTTCGATGAGACCCTGCTCTGCCTAGGCAACCTGGAGGAGCTGCATGATTTGGAATCAGGGGACAAAGAGCAGGAGCCGTGGAGGGAAACTGGAACTGGAGGCTGGGGGTGAGAAAGGGTGTGGGAAACTAGGACTTGGAATTGAGTTGGGAGAGGCTGGGACTGGCTGGGCTAGGAGACTGGGACTTGGGAGCCAGGGAGGGAAATAGGGTTTGGAAGCTTATAGGTAGGTGGGGAGACTGAAATCAGATGAGGAACTGGGGGGAGACTGGGATGGGCTGAGCAAGGAGACTAGGGCCTGGTCCACACTAACCCCCCACTTCGGACTAAGGTACGCAAATTCAGCTACGTTAATAACGTAGCTGAATTCGAAGTACCTTAGTCCGAACTTACCGCGGGTCCAGACGCGGCAGGGAGGCTCCCCCGTCAATGCCGCGTACTCCTCTCGCCAAGCTGGAGTACCGGCGTCGACGGCGAGCACTTCCAGGATCGATCCAGACGCGATAAATCGATCCCAGAACATCGATTGCCTGCCGCCGGACCCGGAGGTAAGTGTAGACGTACCCTAGGACTGAGAACCAGTGGGGGAAAGAGTAAAGAGTGGGGAGTGGAGACATATCTGATGAGGCGCTGGGATACATAGGTAGAACTGAGACTGCCTGGGCAGAGACTGTAGGGTTACCATACGTCCGGATTTCCCCGGACATGTCCGG